AAATAAATAAACAAAAAATTGAATTTTTAGGAATAATTTTAAGAGAGGGAAAGATTCAGTTGCCACCATCTATAGTACAAACAATTTTACATTTTCCAGACAAAATTGAAGAAACTAAGAAATTACAAGTCTTTTTAGGAATATTAAATTATGCTAGACATTTTATTAAACATTTAGGAAGGAAAGTAGGTTCACTGTATAGTAAATTATCTAGTAAAGGACAAAAATATTTTAATTAATCAGATATTGAATTAGTTAAAAAGATAAAAGCAGAAGTTAAAAATTTACCACCGTTAGATAGTGAATATAAAATAATAGAAATAGATGGATGTGAATTAGGTTCCAAACCAAATAAATATAGTGATAAAAAAAAAAAGAAAAATTTTGTAAATATGCTAGCGAAAAATAAAAGATAAAAGGAAAATATTTAACTAGCTTAGATTATGAAATAATGGCCATCATACATAGTATAGAAAGTTTTAAATTATTTTTAAACACTGAATTTACAATTAGGACAGATTGTGAAATTATAGTAAAATTTATTAAAAAGACATTTTGATAAGATAAGACATAAAAGATGGTTAAAATTATATGAGATATTAAGCAGCTATAAAATTAATATAGAACATATTGACGGAAAAAATAATATTTTAGCAAATAATTTAAGGAGGCAAGTTATTAATTTTCTAACTCATTATCTTCATGGTACGGATGGATCAGAGGATGATGAACTGTGGGAATGTCACTCTGAGAATGGCCCCTCAAGGATCTAATCTTCGATTTAGAGGAAATAATTTAGAAAGACTACCAGAAAAGGAGCGTTTACTGGATAATCTCTGGATGACACGTGACTCTAAACAAAAATTAGACAGCATTAATGCCCTAGCTAACCATTTTAGACAGATTCATAATCAAGTAGAAAGCAAAAATTTTAGTTTTTTTGCAGTAATTAAAAGTAGAAAGCCTGGAATATATAATTATTGGCCAAGAAATACTACAAGTAGAAAGATTTTTCGACCCCCCTTTTCAAAGGATTTTATACGATTGAAGAAGTTTTAAATTTTTGTAGAGAAATGATAGGATTTAATTTTCATATCTCCGAAAGAATTAGATAGACCATGCAAACCCCCTCTCAAGCTTCATCATCATCTTCATCAATACAACTTTGTGATAGTTGTAAAACTATGACCAAAGTTGTTAGAAATTTAAATCTTAGAAAGCATTTTTTAGAAGAAAGACTACAACTCCTCGAAGATCAAATTTCTTCATCCCAACAAACTATTAGTAAATATCAAAATGAGATTCTTAAATTGCATACTAGTTTAGACAAACTTAGTTCTTCTAAAAATACACTTGAAAAACTCATTTCTAAAGACATCGCCTCTACAAGTAGAAATTATTCTGATAAAATAGAAAGATTTATTGAATTAATAGATTCTACAGCTGTAGGACAGGAAAATACTTTATATGAATTGGAACAAAAAATTGGTGATTGCGCCAGTATTGTTTGAAGTTCTATAAAGAATTTCGTTGTACAGAAAATTATAGATTTTGCTCAAATTTTAAGTCACTATCATAATGAAAATAGATATTTCCTTAGACATGGTCCCAAATACGATGCAGCCCAAAATTCAGCCTTCCTTAAACACAATTATCCAACAATTTCCTTTGATTATACAATCTTTGAAGAAGAAGACCTCTTTTACCCAACTTTACAGTTTGATATGATAGATACTATATACATATTAAACAGATCTTTCATATTTTTTTCACCAAAATTTAAACATATTCTTGATCAGTTAAAAGATCATCCCTTAATGGTTTAATTCATTTTCATACCCCCTCGTGTAAATAATGGCATTGTAATTCCAGCTTATCATTGTATTTTAATTTATGAAGGAGCCAAAAGATTTAGACCCTCTTCAAGGACGAATATTAAAATAAAAATTAGATAGATTGATTATGAAAGAAGAATATCAGAAACCACAGCCATGATGGAAGTTCAAAATAATGATTTCAGATTAGTAGCACAATGGAATAACGGAGTTATTTTCTGCCAAGAGCACCTTGCTATGAGAATTAAAGCAAAAAAAATTCTAGTACAAAATATTGAACAAAAGAATTTATATCTGATGGCGTTTAAAGAAACTAATGGAGAATTTACAGAAACCTATCAGAAACAGAAGTGGAAGCCTATATATCTGATGGCAACGATAATGAGATGGATCCAGAACTAGAAAAAGCCATAGTAGAAATAATGGACAGATAAAGACGAGATAGAAAGATGGAGAAATAATTAGCAAAACAAGGAAGTAAAAAAGAAGAGGCATAAAGATAAAACGTTAAACATATTTCAAAAATTCTCTGCAAAGTTGATTATCATATTTCAAGAAAAGTCAGGCGTGAAGACAAAAGTTATTAGAAGCATCTTTTCAAATAATTCATTCTTTAATTACTCACATGGAGAATTGCACATTATTTATTTTTCTTTGATTTTTGATCGCACACCTGTAAAGTTTGCACAGTATTCTTCAATTATTGATAGCACACTTACAATACCAATAGAATAGACGTGATGTACCAACGTCTATAAATACACACACCTCTCACAAAAGAAATCATACCGAAAAAAGTACACTATCACACTTGTACTCAAAAATCTCTCCACCATCTTTGTAAATTCTAAGACATCCTTATAAATTCAAAGACTTCTTAATTAAAGTAAGTTCTTTTCATATCTTTTCTTATTTATAATTTTCGTTTACTTTAATTAATTTTCGAGCAAGGCCTAAAAGGGGAAACACCAGGTAAGCAATTAATTTATTCACAAATAATATGTTATTTTTGTTTCGAGAATATAATTTTAATGCTTTTAGCCTCTTTATTCTGGATTCCATGGTCAAAAGATAAAGTAATCCTCTGAGTTAAGTTGGCTAATTTGTGTCCCAATAGTGGGAGTTTGTTTAAACCTTTTTAAACATGATAAAAATCTTTTTGGCTACAGTCTTAAACTTTCTTTAAAAGGTCAAGAAAAAAGCTAAGAGAAAGTTAAAAAAAATAAAAAAGTATGAAGAAATTAATTTGCTGAACGGTAAAGTATTCAAAGGCCATTATAAACACATATCGTTTTAAAGTTTTAATATTTTATGCCTTTAAATTACACTGCCTTGCTTACTTGTTCATTGGAAAACTTTAACGAATATATTAATACTTGTTTAGAAAATAGAGAGACACGAAGATTAGTCGTTGTAGGAAGTCATATTTTATTCGCTCTAGATAAAAATAGAGGTGACCCCTCTTTACAGATCAAGAAGCAAATCACTGAACTCTCTATCTCTCAGTGTCAGAGTTTCTTGATAAAAGATCCTAAAGAAAGACAACAACGAGCAAAGATTATAAGAGAAAATAATAAAATAAATTCCAATAGAACTATTTAGACATTTTTTTAGCAATAGACTTTTAGTAGAAAAAATAATAGAAATATACTTACATACTCTTGGTCGTAGTAATTTAAAGTGCAGACTTTTTAAAACGAATTAATTAAGTGTAGAAAATCTTACCAAATTAGTAGACTTTCTCTATGAAATATTTATTAGTAGGAAGAAATTTGTATTTCAAAACGTGTAAAAAAATTTAGAGAAAGACCTTATTAACAAGTCCTCTTCATATTTATTAGAAAAAGAAATTTTTGAAAAACAAGTCATTTTCATATTAATTAAAGAAATTTTTTTCAAACTTTTGGTAGGAAGGTAGGAAGATTTACGTAGAATTGGTATTCAGTATCAATACTTCAACCAATGTGACGGGAAAGGAAATTCAGGAATTGGTCTAATTCTATCTCCATAATCAATCACTGAAAGGTTGAGAAAATAAAAAAGAACGAACTGCAGCAAAACAGCAAAGAGAGCATACTTGAGTCCACAATGAGATAATTTGTTGTCCTCCTCAAATCAACATTGCCAACTCCAGCCAGCAAAAATCCAGTAATTGTATCCTACATCAACAAGTAATTCATCAGTAAAATATATTACAAGGCAAAGAATAGCAGCAGGATCCACAACGAGATAATTTGATTAATTTATTTTATTGGTCCTTGATAATCTTTAGGTGATTGAAATTGTTTCTGAGAGAAGTAGGGAACCAAAAAAATGGGAGGGAGGGGATTAAACTGTACTGGAAAAGCTAGATGAACTTAAATCTAGACACTGACTGATTAACTTTCTCTGCTCATTCAGAAGCAACGATGGTTCAAATGCCTGAACACGGCAAGATCCATTTTTAATTATGACACAACTGATGCTGCACACCGGACAAGTATGCAGGAAATAAGATCCTTGCATCTAATAATCACGTAAAGCATATATGTCCTACTCTCTCAAGACCCTTTTGTAGTATTAAAGGGATTATCCAACTCCTTTTAAATTCTCTTTACTCGACTTGTAAAAAATACAACAAAAGGCTCCAATGTAAAAACAAGAAAAATCGTTCCTCCAGACACCCCACCGAAAATTTAAAGATATAATAAGAACAAAATTACTTAAAAAGCCATATCATCTAATAGTTTAATTCATATTTAGATTATCAAACTAATAGCAACAGGAGCTATGTAGAACTAAATGAACAAGGATATAGTGAGAGGTTGCACCAATCATCTAACTCCAATAATGGAAAATGCACTTGCAATTTTAAACAAATAAACAAATTAAATTCTAACTTAGAATATCCAAGTTCAACGACGTCGTGTTGTGTCCTTCAGATAAATTTGCTCCCTCTACGGTTGAAGATCTGAAGCAATTGCCTCCTAAAATAGGACAGACCATTGTTCCAAATTAAATAGCACCACAATGGCAGTGGAACCAATCCAACAGAATTCTAAGTATGTGCTGATCATTGTAGTGACAGAAACTGAGCAAAATTCGTTTGCACAAATTGAGGGAGAAAAATGCTTGAAATAGTTTGTTTAAATGGCAATCAGCAAAGGCCATATCTATAGCCTAAGATGTCGCCATTCGTTCAATTGCCACAACCCTTTCATAGAGTTGCAGTGTTAGAATAAAGAGGTGATATTATTAGATGAAAGGTTATCTATTTTATGAAGAGAAGACTTTTGAGTCAAATATTCACCATTTCAGCTCAATCGACACACTACTTGGGAAACTAGATGAGCAGATCTTCCAACAATCACAAAATTGGAATTTAGATTGAAGTGACAAAATGGTTGGAGCAGCTTCCAGCAGTGGTAAAACCCACGAGTTTAGTATGTCTCGAAACACACGATACCACTCTAATGCTCGAACTCTTCAATTTGAACGACGCATCTGTGTCGACATGACATGTTTATGGATATGTATCCTATGTCAGATCTTTTAATTTAGAATTGGACAAGGTGGAAAGGGAGATCGCAAGGGAAGAAATAGAAGTTGCTTGGAGATATAAAGCAATAAAATTGATTTTGAGGCAAAAACTAAGAATTTGAAAGTATGAAACCAAGTCCATATAATGTTTCACCCCGTAAAAAATATATCCAAAATTATTAGCATATAATGTTTTTTAAAAAAAATTATGTTTGACCCAAGTCCAAATTTGTGTCTTAGTCATATTCCCATTTTCTAAATTTTAGAAGAAAAAGGATCCGATTCCTTGATAAATACTCATAGCCGACGCCCATACCCCGAGCAACATAGTTTGACCAGTACTTAGGCAAGTCTAAATTTTAAATTTGTTGAGAAAATAGGTTCAAACTTTAAAAAAATTCTCATGAAAATTAATACATATTTTGAACCAAACACAAGCCCGTGGTCATGTAGAGCTAAGTCAGAGGGAGATGAAGCTGCATGATGACCAAACCCACCTTGAAGTCTTCTATTCTCAAAACTGGGTGTCCTTTGAGGCCTAAACCAAATTTGCAAATCATGGATTAATAAATTAATTTGTTTTTCATTTCAACCTATATGGGAATCTATCCTTTCTTTCTTCAATTCCCCTCTTCCTTCTTCTACCGTTGAAAAACACAAATGAATGAAGAAAATCACAGGTATTGAAAATTTGAAGTGCGAAGTGAAATAATTGTTGAATTCATTCTCTCTCCTCTTCATCATTGAAAAAAGGGACAAAGAATAAATTAAGAAATAATTAAAAGAACGGAAAGCATCCAACATTGGTATGAAAAACATGGATTATTAATCTAAAGATTGGGATCGAGTTTGGGCCCCATGGCCCAAAGCATTTGGAAGGGGTCATAACTTTCCCTTAAGGTGAAATTGGACAATTCCCAACATATGCTTGTCATTGCCACCAGCTGACTTTGGCATGAGTACAGGTATATGGGCTAAAATAAATCTCAGCCCCTATTGACAAACTTATTGAGATTATAAGCTAGTAGGTCTCATAAAATGTGTGGTTAAAAGTTGTGAGTCCAATGAAATGTGTGGATAAAAATGAAATTTAAAAAAAAAAAAAAAAAACCTTGTCAAACATGGCTTGTTTTTTATTGGAAATTTATTTTAAAATCTAACCAATTGGCTCAGACAAATTTAAATTCAAAATTGCTATTTGGTCCCAACATAACTATCAATATTTGGACAAATGACCACATCCAAGGTTTTATATAGGGGTTACTAGTTTACCATTTCTTTATACCAATTTTAAAACGATTATTCTCCCACTTTCGTTCAGTACTTCTCCTAAAAATTGCCCAAAGACATTTTTCTCAAGTTCAGTTTATCTACTCAAGAAGTTTTGTTTGCCGGTTTACACATGATTCAAGGGATTGATTCTATACAAATGAAAAATCTGTTCTACTTTGAAAGAGAATTGCTAAAGATAGTCAATAAAAGAGAGCAAATTTGGCTTGAGGAAACAAAGTGGGGCCATTAGACTCCGATATCTGCAAGTTTTCTCAAGGCCTATTGAATTCACTGCCACATGGGGATACTATATCTATTCAACATATGGAGGGTACTTTGAGGACTTGGTACCTCTTAGAACCTCAACCAGCCTACTTGGTCTTATATGGATACGCGTGAAGGAGTGCTCCTAGATGTGCATGGGGATTATGTACCACTTACTCGTGAACTATACGGTTCACGCTTCTTGTGATGCCTTTTATTCTTGACAGTAATCTCCCAGAAAAACCACCAAACCCCTACCCTTCGCCCCTTATTTTCTCTATTTATTTTGCAGTTCTATAATAGGGCCAACACAGTATAAACGACCCATCATACAGTGACTAAAGTTTGGCATCCAATTTGAAGTGAAGCAGATATAATTGGTGAAGCAGCCTTCTTATAAGTGACTAAAAATATACTAGAAGTGGCAACAGCATCATAACAATGGAGTTAACATTCCCATACATAAATTTCGCTCGGAATCACAAAATAAATAAAAAGATACGATCGTAACCTCATCAGCGATCATGGCGATGAGTGCTGAGCTGGTTGTGCGGATCGGAACTCTGTTCGCCATTTATCGAAAAATTTCAAAGAAAACAACTGCAAAAATTGCAAAACAGTAAATAATCATAATAAAATCAATCCAGATATGACCAATCAAGCAAAACCACAAGAAATTCAAATGAAAAAAGAAAATTAATCGGAACAGTATTTTTTTTATTCGTTTTAGAATTTCTCATAAATATTAATTTGAGTATACCTGATGTTTCGGCTTCAGCAGAAGAAAGTGAATTGAGTCGCGATCGCGAATTAAGTTATTATGATGAGAATTATTACAACGAAAAGGGTATTTTACGCTTAACCCCTCCGAGGAAGACACGATTTACTGTTCTCCCCAGACCTTAAAAATGGTTGGCTGGCTAAACTTATTATAAGTAGGTCGGCTCGGCGGCCCTTAATCGGTTCGTCCAAATTTTTTTTTTTTTTTTAGAGTTTTACAAATAAATAAAATAATATAAAACACTTTTAGAAAAATAAAACGTGTTAAAAAATATAAATAATTTAATGAAAATATTTTTTTATTTTTTTATTTATATCATATTGTAATACTTTTTATAAAGTATAAAATATTTAGATAATGAAAACGAACTATTTTTTGAAATACATTTATAAAAAATATATTTTTTTGATTTCTTTTTAAAGTAGATAAAATGTAAATCATCCTCCTTTATTTGGATTTGGGACCGGTTACATCAATTTTAAGTATGCAGAGTTAAAAATTGTAAACGAATAATTTGTTGTAACGTGTACAATTTTTAAAAAAAATTAAATTTAACGATTAAAAAAAAGAAATTTTGATTAATATAATTAAATCAAATATCACTTACCTGACGACATGCAATTTCAGCGTATTTATCTTGTAATTGAAAATAAGCGTCACGTAAATCCTTCACGCACATTAACACTTTCAAAACATCTTCTTTCAGTCGGCTCCTGACATCGGTCAAAATTCTTTTACCTGCACTAAAAGCAGACTCCGAAACAACGGTGCTAATCGAAGGTGTCAGCAGATCTTTCGCAATTGCAGAAACAATTGCCCAACGTCTTTTATATTTTTGCCAAAATTCAATTACTTCTTCTGAACATTTTTTAATTGTTTTATCCTGTTGGCATATTATGATTGAAATAATCAATTAATTCGGCAGGCGTCGCATTTTGAGTTTCTAGCGATGTTTGATGAGATGCAAATGTAGACGACATAATACTAGATGAACACATTGCAGTTGCATCATATCTAAATGTATTAATACCTTGAAATAAATTTGGCATTATCTTCTTCAATTTCTGCAGAAGGAGTAGGTGCAGATGGTACCCGACTAACATTCGCACCCAATCTTTTCGCATATAAATCATACATTCCTCATAATGTTTGCTCTAAATTCTTATAGGTGATAGGTGTATCAAGTATTAAAACTTTATTGATTTGATCAACTACGTATTTAGCTCCAGAAATATTATATCGGGGGTCCATTGCGCATGCTAAAGGAAATAATATAGGTAGTTCTTCCCAACATTTTCTAAACTTTAATTCCATAACAATTATAATTTTACTAAAAGTATGATCATTTTTATAATTATAGAATGTTTTTACAATTATATAAAGGCGTTCAAACACCATACAACTTGTGGGATAATAAATGTCGGATAAAATCTTTGTGGTCTCATAAAAAGATGTCAAAAATCGTTTAACTTTCAAAGGTGAAATCCAATCGGATTCATTTAACATACCATCGTCATCACTTCTAACGTGTCTATTGTTATAAAAGTCAGTTATTAAATTTTCGAAACATTCACATGACTTTAATAGCAAGTAAGTAGAGTTTCATCTATGACCTACATCGCTAACAAATATTTTAGCAGTCGTCACCCTTAGTTCGGCACAAAAATCTCCAAATACTTATTTTCTACTAAGAGAGATCGTAATATATACTAATGTATTATTAATCCTTTGAAGTTCATCATTTATATGTTTAAAACCATATTGCACAATTAAATTCAAGATATGACACACTAAACGAATATGAAACAAATACCCACCAAAATCAGGTTGAAATGTCCTACACAATTTATCGACGACTACCTTATTAACACTAGCATTATCAAAAGTAAAATACCGAATTTTAGTCTCGCAATGATATTCTCTAACAATACTGATAACAGCATTATATATATTATTAGTATTGTGAGGAAACTCAATAATTCTAAAAGTAATAATTTTCTTATGCATGCACCAAAGTGAGTCTATATAGTGTGCAGTTGCAGCTATATATGCTCTTTTATTAACCGCTTCCCATATATCAGAAGTTAAAGATATAACACCCCTATATTGTTGCAAATCCATAATTAATTGTTTTTTTAAATTATTGAAATAATTAATTGTATCGGCACGAAGAGCGTTTCGACTTACCCCAATGTACTTCGATTGTAGATATTCTTTCACGAACGAGATTAAAAGTGTTGGTTGTCTGCAATAGCCAGAGGCAACTCAGTGGCGGCAACAAATTTCACCATTCCGGTTCGAGTATTGTCCTCCGAATACACACACTTGGATAGGGGTGAAGTTGTAGAACCGATGGCTGGACTGCCAAATTGTAATTGTGTTTGACCAGCTGGAAGAAGTCCATGTCTGGTTGCACATACTTTGTAGTGGCGGTTGAGATGGGTGGTACCAATTCCTTTTTGTCATTCCAATCTTTGTTGGCAGTATTTACATACTGTTTTAGATTCTACAAGGCCATCAATGACTTTTCCCCTTGAAATCAACTTAAAGTGATTCCAATATTTTGCTTGTTTTTTGGCCTTTCGCTTTCCCCTCGCGTGTGCGATATTTAATTGTTGATCTTCATCTTCATATTCTGCTTCGGGAACGTTAATATCATCTAAATCAATTGGAGTGTGGTTTCTCTGACCGTGACTGTGAACATCTTCAGGTATCGGTATGTCATTTAGACCGGCAAATTCATTTGGAAATTGACTTTGCAGTGTACTAGGCGATTCTCCATGATGTGGCAATGGCTCACATCCTATATCGAACAAGCTCTCAACAAATGAACGTTGATCCATTTCTGTGATTGTTTATGATGAAATCTTGACTAGATAAATATAAATGTAGTGAGATTGTGAGAATTGAGA